GATAGCAAAGTTTTCTCTCCATCAAAACTATTTATTTAGTTTTAAGTATACTTTAATTTTTTTAATTTCTTTATAAGATATAAGACTTACCAACATATATTTTGCTTTATGAATTTAGTTCTAGATTAATTGATTTGTTTAATTTTTAGGACTTGTTTTGATATTTTAGCTTTTTATAATATTTTCAATAAAAATTTTAGTTAATTAAAAGGTATGTAATATATTAGTATAAAATTTTTTATTAACTTTTTAATTATTTCAGTAACCTATATTTCTATAAGTTTTTTTTTCTTATTTAGTGATGAGGCCATCAGACCAGTAGTTGAACTAGAGATTCAACAATGTGAGATCTCAAACGGATTAGAAGCCTGCAAGGACATATGTACCTTCCAAGGAGCCTATAAGACGAACTAGAAGGATTTAAGCGACAAAACAACTTGTTCCAAAAGCTTAACTCATTAGGCAATCACGTCAAACTTATGAAGAAGTTATGAGTTATACAAATCGGGTAAATTACAACTTACCCATTTTTTTACCAGCAGGCATTCATTGGAGCATTACGACTAAACCGAGGATTTGAGCTATTAAACGACTTGGTCTGGAATCTTGACTCCTTAGAGGCACACAAAAACTTGGTATGAGTCTAATACCGATTTAGTCTTGAAAGTTTTGATTTTCTAAAACAGAAGACCCTAGACTTGCTTTATTTGGAGTTTTCCAACTTTGGATCCTTGCAAATGTATGTGCGGCGGCCAGGGGAGCTTCTGAATCATTTAGAAGGTCTTAGGAGGATATTCATGTGTAGCGATGACCATTGGATCAGGTGGATCCAATCTTACCACACCATACACCAAGACTTACCAAAAATAGACTCGAGAGCATTCAAATCTCATCCCCAACATTTATATTTTATTTGCTGAATAATAAGGGAGATATTAGAAGACTCATAGGTCATGGAAGTATCCAGAAGCTATCAAAATACAAGAGCCCATGAGTTTCTCTTTTTGAATCGTCATAATTATGTCTAACGACTATATTTCTTCAAGGAGTCTAACGACTATATTTCTTCAAGGAGCCAACTCTATGATCTTTTCAATTTAATTTTGTGCATTTATTTATTTATCAGCCATTAAAACGTTGCACTAGTCCCAAGTGTCGAGCATTTATAAGCTCAAGCGATTTCATCTTTGTATTCACCTTTTTATCAATTAAAAATCAAGTTTATACTTTTTGAAACGCTTTAGCTTTGTCTCTTTGTTATTTATAAATATTTTGGTGGATTCCATTTCTTAGTAAACGTCTAGGTCTCTGTCTTTGTGTGGATTCACATAGACTTTGGCTTGTGTTCTTATCACGAAGGTATTCCTACCTTTGTGAAAGTGCATATTGGATGCGTTTTAGAATTTAGTTTGAGCTGATATAAAGGAGTTGAGAAGCTGTTGGTGAAACATATGAAACTTGAAGATGTAGTTGTTGTAACAGTGACCTATACCAGTTGTTAAGTACTACATGAGGTTGTACGAGCAGACTGGCTGACCTTAAGGCCTCGTGGGCTTGAAGAGGTGGGCTGGACTAAGCTATTATAGACGTGAAGAGATGTTCTAGGTGAACTGAAGGCGTTCCTTGGAGAGGATCAAGGAGCATGAAGATTTCCGTATATCTTGGCTAAGATTAAGGAAATGAAGATATTCTACAAAGATGTGATATCTTCCAAACTTGAAGACCAAGGCTAGGGTTAGCCGTCTATTCCTATTATGTATAAATAGGAGTGTAAAAACATGGAGAGACGTTTAACACAATTATAGAGCATATTTCTTAGCAAGGGGGATTTAGGGTTGTTCTTGTAAAAGGTCATGATCAAAGGGGCTAAGGGGTACTGAAAGGTTCACAAGATCATGTGTTGATTTGTGAACACATGAGGTTAGAATTGAAGTTGATAAGTGAAACTTGTAAGTGTACTTATCGTTTGATCTAGTAAAACATTTTTGAGAAAAGAACCCATTGTGTATCGTGTTTGTTTCATGTACCAGTACATGTAGTACTCTCTGTTACAGTAGCTCTTGCACTTTCATTTAGTATCAGAACGGGCACTTGTCCGTATTATATAAATGTGAGATCCTTTGGAGAAAATGGAGAGCTATCATGATCTAATCAACAGTTCGAGGGAGATACTGGATTCGGGAAACTATGGATTTTGGATGTCAAGGATGAAGTTCTTGATTGGAGCTATTGATGCTCTCGCATGGAGAGCAGTTCTTGTTCAG